ACATGACATTCCGCACCCCCCCCCACCCCCCCCACCACCCAAGTCCTCCCAAGGATTTTTGTCTATCTTGGCATCGCTCTATTGCTTCTTCTCACCCTGCGTGTTCACTCTCCTTTATTTATAGGACTGCTGACAAAAATAGCAATCTTTAACACAGGTTACTTAATTAAGAGGAGACATTACTTTTAATAAATCAGATAATTGTTTAAGAAGTCTGAAAAGATGGTTCCACCTGGAAGGCTTCTGCAGCTTTGCACTTTCCTCTCCATGTCATATTGCTATGCAGTCAGAAATCTCTAGAATGTCAAGAAAGAAAGTGTGATACTCTCAATAGTGAGATGACATGTGGAGCTCAGTCCCCAACCTGGAAAATCAAAATAATGTCTTTGTTTGGGACCGTCTTAGAGTGTCTTCAGAGTTGGAAGCCTAACACCACTGTTCAAGATGGCGCCCTGCCACTCACCAGTGCGTCAGTCTAACGATGGAACCACTTGATGCTGTTGCTTTTCCCTTGCTAGCAAGCACTTAACAAAATGAACTTTGGCTGGGATTCAGGCAGCAGAGAACATCTGGAATTCCTTGCTCCATTGCCACATGTATTGGAAACCCAAGAGGGCATAACAGATGGGAAGGGAAGGTTGTATTCTCCAAGAACAGAAGGGGTCTAAGGGGAACAGGCATCTCCATTTTCTTTTTTTTAATCTTTGTGAAATACATTTCCCCCTAGGACCTCTTTGGATTGATTTTCTGGCTACAAAGACCAACCTAGTCAGGTAAAGAAAAAGATAGGTGAGCACTCGGAACAGCAGATGTCACTTGTATGTCCGTACAAAAATAACTACAATATAAGGTAATGCACAATGTCATCTGAACGTGAGTATGAGTGATTGGGGGTATTTATAGGTAATAAAAATTTCAATTAAGATAAACAGGGAAGATTTATCCAGGAAAGCTCCAATTGTAAGGGTAAAAGCAAAGCAAACATGGGATCCAATCAGAAAGAGAGCCAGACCATGGGAATCATTAGGACTGTCTGACGTTTTTCCACTTATTCTTCCAGGTACTTGGTACAACTGCATTTTACTGCCTCTTGGAAGTTAGTAGGGCTGTATGACTTACTCCAGTGAGGTGTGAGGGGAAAACAGTGGATGTTATTTCTGGGCTTTAAAAGGCAGTACAGAATTTTCCATGTACCCTTTTCCTGCCTCAACAACTGTGGATCCAAGGGTTGAAGTGAAGCTTTTTTCAGTCTGGTCTCTTGTAACCAATACCATCAGTGTCCGCCTGCTGATTCACATTAGACATATACTTTTGTGGTGTTAAATCAAGATTTTGAGGTCTGTTACAGCCGCATAACCTGGTCCATCTTGACTGATACATGGGGTTTCCATGGAATATATAAAATAATTAACTAATAAAAGTAGAAGTAAGAAGGAAAGTCTTAAGGGAACTAAAATTAGGGTGGAACTAGGGGGAAAGCATTTAGTCATAAAGAAACATTTCATGTGTAGCATACAATGTAAGCAAATATCTAAAGATATATGGCAAACATACAGAGATATAGTAAACATATATACAGAGATAGGTACAGATATGTGTATTTCTAAATCTTAGCCTTCCTCCCACTGAAAAACACATTGTTTCCCTACTTCTCCAACCCTGAAAGCGGCAGGAGAAACAGCACAGGCGTGTGTATGTTTCAGGGAGCACCTTCCTCTGTCTATTCTTTTTATTCCCTAGGTTGGAAATTACAACATCAGCTGGATTCCCTGCTTCTGCCTTTGTCCACCCAGAGTTTATACAGTAGCAGAGCAATTTTATTAAAACATAAATCAGACTGTGTCACTTGCTGCACGACCCCCTCCACTAGCTCGCTGTGCACTCAGAAGAGCCAGTCCTTCTCCGAGCTCCTAAGGTCCTGTGTGTTTACTACCTCTGACTTAAACTTCCTCCCTGTCCTTACCTCCCAGCCTAGCTGTTCCTGGACTATATCAAGCACACTTCCTACTTAAGGGCATTTGTAGTTACTAGACCTTGTGCCAAAGTGCTCTCCCTTAGATATCTACACGGTTCACTCCTTTCTTTCCTTCTAGATTCTGCTCAGGAAGACCGTTCCTGACCACTTTTCACACTTGAATGACTACCTATCAAAGTTACTAGGCTTTATTTTTTCTCTGTGGTATCTAAGACCCTCTGATATACTCCATATTTCCTGTGTCCTTGTTAGTAATCTGGTTCCCTAACGGAAAAGAATAAGTTCCATGAAGGCAGCTCCTGTGTTTATTTTGTTCTCCGTGGAATTTCGTCACCCACATGTGTACCTGGCGTGTGGCCATTATTCAATAATGATTATTTTCTCAGTGCTGAACCTCGGTGACCCGCGGTGTGGCTTCTACTCCACCTTTGCAGTCTCTGAATTTGCCATTCGGTGAGCTGTCTGGGGTCAGGCACAGGATCAGAGCCCGAAGGCACTGTAGCCCCAGGAAGAAATTCACAGGGCTTAGCGCTGAGGTTCCCAAGTGCAGTCCATGACAAAGTTTGCAGTTGCCGATGAAGCAAAGAGACAAATAAGGGCAGATTTTGAGAGTTTTTACACAAGGCTGATTTTTTTAAAGTTTGTTTTTAATGTGTATTTATTTTAAGACAGAGAGGGAGAGCATGCAAGCGGAGGAGGGTCAGAGAGAAGCAGAAAGAGAGTGCAAGTGGAGAAGGGACACGGAGAGACAGAATCCCAAGCAGGCTCCGCACTGTCAGCACAGAGTCCGGTTTGGGACTCGGTCTCACAAACCATGAGTTCATGACCTGAACCAAAATCAAGAGTCAGACACTTAACTGACCGAGGCACGCAGGCGCCCCTAATTTTTTAAACGTAAGATTGTGTCCTTGCACTTTGGCACTAATGTGTCCTTTCGTGTATGACATGATGATGGAACACCATGACAGATGTTCGTTTTGCAGTTTGTTTGCGTTTTCCTTTTCATTGCCTTTACTTGGTAAGGTTGAAGAGTTTAGAGTCCCTGGTAATTTTCAGTTTTCAAATATTCCAGAATTATCTATCCTAAAAGATGAGAAACTGAAGCCAACAGAGATGCCATGACTCCTCCAGGTTCAAAGATCTGGGTTTAGCAGAACCAGCTCTAAGACTCATGCTCCCTCATTTCCAGGTGGTTCAGCTTTCTCTACACAAGACTCCTGCCCCCTGAGAAGCCCTCTGAGAATGACTACTTCTCCAGCGTAGAGTGCCCTTTATCCCCTGACACTTGCTTGTCGTTGTTGTTTTATTTATTTTTTAAATGTTTATTTGAGAGAGAGAGAGAGTGCGCGCGCGCCTGCGCATGAGTGGGGGAAGGGCAGAGAGAGGGAGACACAGAATCTGACCCAGGCTCCAGGCTCCGAGCTGTCAGCACAGAGCCAGATTCAGGGCTCGAACTCACAAACTATGAGATCGTGACCTGAGCCGAAGTTGGACCCTTAACTGACTGAGCCACCGAGGCACCCTGCAACTTGCTCTTTTAATCATTAAGTACTTTGGGGCTCTAGTAAAAACTCAAGACTCTTCTTTCTCATTTTTCTGTCTTTATTCCCCTCTAGGGAAAAAAAAAAAGTACCTTTTTTTTTTTTCATTTCTTGCCCTGCCCCCAAAGATGAAAACCACTGTCATGAGTCAGATTAAGAGAATAGGTACTTTTCGCTGGCAACTGGACAACTGGCAACTAGAGATTGTATTTTCTCCCTTAGAAATTTCAGTAATTTATTCAAATACTTCTTTGTTCCTTAAAAGAACAATGTAGAAGAGCGTAGAATGAAAGTCCCAACACTATTCCTCCCCCAGAGAAAACCACAGTTAACAATTTTGCATATATATATATATATATATATATATATATATATATAAAGATATAGAATATGTCTAGGTATATATTACACTCTTCTTTAAAGACTGTTTGAGCTATATATATATATATACATATATATATATATAGTGTTCTAGCATGTGAAAACCTCATAAATTTGTGAAAGAACACACACACACACACACACACACACACACACACACACACAATGAGAGAACATTTACCACTATGCTAACTGGTTCTGAGGGGTAGAAGAATGATGTGTCACTTTTATACTAATAAAAATGGTGCTAAAAATATGACTTCAACAGAGAGCAAGCTAAGGTTGCATGAAATATTTAGTGAACTCAAAGAGTTTAAGAAAGTCAGTTCTAGGGGTGCCTGGGTGGCTCAGCTGGCTATGAGTCTGACTTGATTTTGGCTTAGGTCATGATCTCACAGTTCGTATGATCGAGCTCCCCATTGGGTTCTATGCTCACAGCAAGGAGCCTGCTTGGGATTCTCTCTCTCCCTCTCCCTCTTTCTCTGCCCCTCCACTGCTTGTGTGCACGCTCTCTCTCTATCCTTCAAAATAAATACATATTTTTTTAAAAAGTAGTCCTAATAAGATAAAGTGTCTGTGTTAGAAGCAAACTGAACAGTTAGCACAGGATAGGAGGTGAGCAGAAGGCTGTTCTGTGTGTAGAACATTCCTGGGTGTTATATTGTCTGATCACCCCTTTGCTGCCCTGGATGTTGTTTTGTACATTTCTCAGGTATTGCATGTGTGTGTGTGTGTGTGTGTGTGTGCGCGCGCGCACGCGTGCACAATGTGTGCATCTTGCAAATATCCAACTAAACTCTAAACTTCATTGTAGGCCAGAACCTTGTCTCCGTGTGCTCATTATTGCCCTAAACAGAGGGCCTGTGCAATGCCTCTCCCACGTCGAGTTCTGCGTTTGTTTACGCTCTTCCTTAAAGACTGTTAGAGCTAAAGATGGCTCGAGCTGTTAAGAAATTCCTTGCCCGTCTCTGGTACTATGGTGGCTCACGAGCTTCTTCCGATTATGTTTCTTGTTGTCTTGGAATCTGGCCTATAAACAGAGAATGCTAAGTGCACACCACATCACAATCAGCAAGGACTGGTCATCACAGCTGACACGGAGAACGGAATGTGCTCCCTTTGTAGAGATCATGGCCCTGGAGAGCAGGTTCAAGTTTTCATGAGCCAAACAACCGATCATAGCACCTTCCTGCCACCCAGGATGTCCTGACTTCTATATGGGAACCATCTGGGCCACCATCATGTGGTGTACATCATGATCACCATCAGTAAACTCGGAACATCATTGAATTCCAAGATCAAAAGAAACCTTAAAGGTATCCTCATCCAACATCCATCTTCTTTATGGTTAAGTGATTGATGACTGTTAGTAATTTACGTAATACATTTATTGTCGGGAAGTTTTCTTTTTGCCCATATGAGGATTTGAAATCTCCCTTCCTAAAACTTCGACCCATTGTTTTGCTCATTCAGTCATATTTAAAAATTGACCTCTTTGTATGTCAGATTCTGTGTCATGTGGTGAGGCTAATAAGACGGTAAGGTCACATGTGCTTTCAACAGCCTCGTGGTTGGGTTGGAAGCTAATTACATAAGTATATAATAAACAGGCTGTATTTGTGTGAAATAATTCCTAGTTTTGTTTAAAAGCAGGGTGGAGGAGCACTTAACCCTATCTGGCTGGCAGGGTAAAGGAATGGAAGCTTCCCGATGAATGTGATGTCACTTCTCTCTCTAGCTTGTTGGCAAGGGAACTATTTAACCAGCTATGGGTCAGCCCAATTATATCATCTAGACAAAACTTCCACATCTTTTCTGCAAACATAATACTCTTTGCTGGGGCACAGTGACTGAATCCCCTTCATTCTTTTCCCCACTCCACTCCCACCCCTATGTAGAAACAATGGCATTTGAGAAATTGACCCCAACTCCAACCATCATATCATATCCCTTGCCAGGATCCCTAATCTAAGCCTATCAGTGCATGGCATTCCACTGATGACAAGTACTCGGTTTTTTTTTTTTTAATTTTTTAGAGAAAGAGAGTGTGTAAGCAGGGGAGAGGGACAAAGAGAGAAAGAGAATCCCAGCAGGGTCCACCCACACTCAGTACGGAGTCCCATGTGTGGCTCGATCCCACAACCCTGGGATCATGACCTAAGCTGAAATCAAGAGTTGGCCGCTCAACTGTCTGAGCCACCCAGGCGCCCCAGGACAATTACTGTTTAAGGAGTGGGAACATTATGAAGGGGAAAAAATATGTTCTGGGCTTGGGAGTGGCATACTTTCTCTCATGTTTTCTTTCCAGAAATGAATGAGGCAACATGTAGCCTATTTTCTACTAGTGAGCAACTTACATCCATGATGAAGCCAACACTCTTATCAGAAGAGAGACAAAAGGAACTTGGATCCTTGATCACATCGCTGAACTGGATGAACCAGTCCTGACACACACTTCCAAGCATGTAAGCCAATAAACGTACTTACTCGTGAAGCTAGTTTCATCTAGGTTTTCTGTTACTCACTTCTAGAAGCATCTTAAGTGTTTAACTTGCCTAAAGCTTTATTAAAGCAAAATGATAGAATGTCTATGTTTTTTCCCCCCAAACAACCAGTCTCATAATATTAAGAAGGGAAAGAAAGTTTCTTCGGCATTCTTGTTTTTGTGAATCAATTATGGTTCCTTGGGCCCAAAGGCATATTTTCCAGCAGAAATGTTCTTGATTCACTTACAGAATGGATAACAGTTGGAAGCAATTCAGCTCCACAAGTATTGATTACATGTCTACTCTTTGCCCTGCATTATGCTGGGCACTAAGGTATATGCAAAGTGCTTCTGAATAAGATATGGCTCCTTTCTTCAAGGAGTTTAAAACCCTTTGGAAATCAAATGTAATATAAAGAGCTTGAGCTTTGGTGTCATATACCGAGTTTCAAATCTTGCCCTGCCTATTATATGTCTGGCACTCTACGTAGGCTGTCTCCTTCAATCTTCACATCAACTGTTAAGGCCATTATTTATGAATGAGGAAATTAAGTTCAAAGAGGTAACTAACTTTCCCAAAGTGACTTGTCAGACATGATGGCGCTGGGAAATGAATATAGGACTGAGTCCAAAACCAAAGGTATGACCAACGTTTAGGTGGGAGTTGAATGTGCCATTAATAGGCAAACACCCCCAGCCAGCCAATTTATGTCTATTATAGTTCTTCTGTCTTGAAGTCAAAGGTGGTGCTCAGTTGGTCTTTTAGGGGAAAAAACTCTCAAGTGAGACAAAAGCTCCATCTGATGGCAATTAGTGCAAGAACATTGAACGCTTTTTTTTTAAAATTTATTTATTCATTTGATGAAGATTTATTATACCTAATATATGACCGGCATTGTGCTAAACACAATGAAGAATACAAAGATTCATGAGGTTGAGTTTCTTCTCAGAAGAAGCTATGGCCTTTTAAGTAACAATAACTGCCATGCATCAAACGTCTGCTAACGGCTGGGCATTTTTTCATAATCATCTGTAATCTTTAAATGGCAGGGCAGTATTTTTGTGCCCATTTTATGGATGCAGGAACCGAGGCTTGGAAGAGGCTATACCCAAGTCACACAAGCAAAGTCAAGACTTGAAAGCAAGTCTGACCCCAATGCTTGTGTTCTTTTTGTGGCGAGCCACCTAAACTTAGTTGACAGAAGCAGCGCCCAATAGGTGCTCCTTTTTTATTCTCTGCTCCTACCACAGTGCTGTCCGCTTAGGCACTCAGTGACTCCACCCTGTTCGTTTTTAGTTCTGTAGCCAAACTCTATCCTCTTGTCCTGATGGTTACCAAGTGATTGGTTTTGAGAAATCTGAGATCTGTTCCCAGTTCTGTTGGCCACGATAGGCCTTCTTGTCCCTCATGTAAACTGGCTATACGATTTAGATGCAACAAATACATTTCGAACACCTACTAGGTATGCCGGTCCTTCCACATATGTTGTTTCATGACTTCCGTTTTTGCAAATAATGAATTTGGGGCTGTCATAAATTGCTCAAGGTCACTCACATTGTTAAACGTGGGTCTAAGATTCAAATGCCAGGTCTCTCGACGATCCAGCATAGCTTGAAACATATATCCAAGTTTTCAATATACTTTCCAGGATATGTCCAAGTCTAATACAATTTCCACTAGACCAGATGTGAACGCTGTTGGGTTTTGTATGGTGAGAACTACTTTCATTTAAAGCATTTACTCTCTTTCTTCCTCTCGGAATATTTTACGTCTATGCAACCTCTGCTTTTTTCCTTGGTGTCTCATAATTACTGGTCCTGGCTCCACGCTCTCTCCCATAACTATTCCCAGAGGCCAGCTCTCACCATGTTACAGCCTGTCTCCTACTTAAGTTTTCATGAGAAATGCCTCCTTTGTGGCATTTACCAAAGAGGGGGAAAGTCTCCCAAGCTCCTCTAAATAGCATAAAGTACTGCTTTTCTCATAGTCTTGAAAAAGTTTCTTTTTCTTTTCTTTTTTTAACTCTATGACCTGTCCCACGAGTAGGACCTAGACAGCTTGCCACATGAAATCTCTTTGAGTAGACTTTCTTCAAAACTTTGGTCTGCCTAAAACAGTGATTTACTCTCCTTAGCCCCAGGTAATCTCTTGGGAATGCTTTGTTATTTTCAGAAAGGAGAAAATAGCAAATTAAACATGTGAGATTTATTTTTAAAGTTAATGTTTATGGTAAAACTCAGCAGAGGTAAGGACCTCATTGGGGTAAGGCCACAGTAGTTCTTGTGTCTGTTACCTTGTGAAATTCTCAGTAACACATTAGATTTTTCTGTATTTCCTTCATAAACCCATCTCGTTTGACACTTCAGGGTGGTGACCCTTGGACTGAATGGAAAGAGTCTAAATGAGAAAAGAGCTAGGGTCATTCACTGCTACATTCAGAAGCTGTTAAGTGTTTTTGGAGTTCTCTCAAGAGAAAGTTGGCATGAAGTGAGATTCAGAGTACCCTTTACTTGTAAAAAGGACAAGTGGGAAAAAATGTCCTTGTCTTTTGAGAAAATAAGCAAAATCATGCTTTCAGCAAAATCGTGAAAGCAGACGCAGCATCAGCAAAGTAGTGAAAAGCAATAACTGAGAAGTCTGATAGACCAGAGTGCAAATCCCATCCCAACTACTTACTAACTGCAAGTGGTTTAATGTCCCTGGGGTTGACAATAGTTACGACTTCATAGGATCGTTGTGAGGTTTCAATGAGATAATGAAAGTAAAGCACTTAGTAAAGCATAACTTCCCTGATGATCCTACATCTGGTAAATATCCCAGCTGTTATGATAATGATTATGATTATTTTTTCTAGACGTATCTCTTCAGTGAAGTCCAAGGGCTGTGCAACAGGATGCTTCCACTTGGGCATCTGGTCAGCACCTCAAGCGTATAATCCTATACAGTAGAGATGGATTTTTCTGAGATCAAGGAGAGAGGACAGATGGGACCAATGACATTGACCTTGGAGATAGTTTTAAATTGCTCATTGACATTCTCAATGCGTGCTTGTTGAGGCAATTAGCCTTCAGTCTGTATAAGTATAGGTGATTAGATTTCCTAATAAGGACTGGTTAAGAAAGCTTAAGTCACTCAAAGTCTCAGCCTATGTCTTCCGAAATCACGGAATATAAATCCCATGATTTGAGGGGGAGAAAGTTGGGCAAGAAGGAATCTGAAAGCTATTAGGTGACATTGAGAATGGCTTGGAGAAGAAAGGGACAAATTGAACATTCAGCTGATTATCCAGATTGTGCAACATAGGCCTGACAACCCAGGAACCTTTAACATTTAGTTCTTTAGCAGAATTTAAATTCCTGTCTCACTCTCCTTAAGGGACATCCTAACTCTGGAGCTGCTCCTGAAATTGCCAGTGACCTCTGTTGCAAAGAGACTGTTTCATTGAGAAACTTACCTTAGGCAATCTTTACCAGAAATGATCCCAAAAGCACATGCTAAAATGGGATTTTGGATTGTATGACCCCCTGCCTGGCTGACAATAAGGACCACATCACTGGAGAACTGCCCTTATAGCAAAAGAGTTTATATATTAATTAATTAATTAATTAATTAATTCTTGTATTTACCTGGCACTAAACCAGGCCAAAAAAAAAAAAAAAATTGGGATTATCCTTTATAATCCAGGAGCTTACATAGTATTTTAGAATATAAGAAGCATAGACAATCCTAAATTAATCTGTTGGCCCCAGACTGCATTTAGCTTGGTTATTGTCAGATTTTGAAGACTTATGAACCACAAATAATACCCTCCCACCCCTCAAACTGTGTGATCTTGCTCTAAATTTTGAAAAGCAGAGTTTCTGGTCAAATAAGCAGGAAATGAATTTCACCAAGTCAAGGAGTTCAGCTGACCGCCAGGCAAGCCGGCCATTTTCCCAGATAGCTGCCTCTCCAGAGATGATGGAGGCCCAGGGGAAGAGCCAGAAGGAAGCCTGTGTCTAGCTCCACGTGCTTCCTCCCTCCAGACACCAACATTTCTTCCGCAGTATATGAATTAGTTTTGACACAATATTTCTGAATAACAAATGACCCCCAAGTTCAGGGGTTTAATGAAACAATCAGTTATTTTTAAAATCTGTGGGTTGGCTGAGCTGAGGCAAGGCAGGGCTCAGCTGGGTAGATCCCTGGGTGACTGTGTTTCTCTGGGCCAGTTGGGATGGCTCAGCTCCACATGTCTCTCATTGTCCTGGGATTGAAAGCTGGCCAAGGCATGTTTCTCTCATAGAAGGAGCAGAGGCAACAGGGAGTGAGAGGAAGCACGTGAGGCTTCTTAAGACCTGGGCATGGAACTGGCCCGGTCAATCCCACCTACATTGTCAAGGCAAGTCACATGGCTGAGCCCAAAGTCTGAGACGCATGGAAATGCACCCCCACAATGAGACTGTGGTAAGGGTATGGATGCAGGGGAAGGTGGAGAATAGGGGTCATTTAGTCCACCAATCTGGGTCATCCCCAACCCTTAAAAAAAGGGCTTTCCCCTGAAGAATTTGAAGTTTCCTTATTAAAAGGATTTTTCTTCCTTCACTTTTCATCATCATTTAGGGTATTAAATCTCCTTCACCCCTCCCTTAGCCAGAGTCCAGAATTCTTGTTTTCTTGAACACATGGAATTAACATTCATGATACTGCCTTTCACTCCCTATAAATAAAAATAAAGGATATAAGATACACAATCTCACCCTCTCTTCCTCCTGCCCCTCCCTGCTCACACACACACACACACACACACACACACACACACACACACACTATAGAGAGTATCCAAAATAAGGAAAAGCTAATTATTGGGTAGGGTTAATCTGAATGTCTTCATGGATAAGTGGAATATTGAGTACAACCTTGAAGGAAATTACTAAGCTCCTTAAAGCCTTAATTACTCCAAAAATTTTTTAAAAGTCTAAAAATCCAATCGCAACATTCTATCTATTATCCATATGGTGAAAAGAGAGCTG